AGAATTACCTTTCCCAGGATCCTGCAGGTGAAGGTGTAGACTTCCTCTCATCAGCCTGGAATTTTAAATAATGACCTCTACTACTTCTTGCTGAATCTCATTGCCAAAATAGTGCTGAGTTACAAAAAGCAAGGACAAACATATTCCAGAACTGGTAGATCTCACTTCCCTTCTCGTTACCCAGAAGATAACCTGTGCTGTCATTTAATGAAACTACACTCTTGTTTGGTTTTGATTTTTGCTACTGCTTTTAAACTTTTACTGTTTGCCTGGAGCCAAGATAATAAGTTCTGAGTAAGGTTGTCTCAATAGCTGTGATTGCCAGTGTCCTCCCTTGATTTCTCTCTGAGCCAGTCAAATCACCGTCTTACCAGGTTTGGATCTGGCTTACTTCTTGAGGGCTGTATTTGTCCTTCCAGTCAATCTTGTGTTAGTGATTAATTAAGAAATTCTCTTGCTGCCATATGATCATCCTCATAAGCTGGCAAGCATTTTTATGATTGCCACTCTTCAAACCTCCTCTTTGGGTGGTATGGAGAGTCCCTGAAGGAATTTCAGGCACATGACTTTCTTCTTTAAAAAGATAAGAGGACTGAGGGGGAGGGCTCTGTATCTACTTTATCAAATAAACCAGTCTTCTGTCCCCTGTTGAAGCTCCACTTATCAAGGGGGAGTGCCTTTCCTAAAGTGTGATAAGCAACAGCAGAGCATGTTGGTTAACAGCCAGTTAGGCAGTCAGGAGCCCTTCCTTGCTGTGCTGCTTATTAGCTACATAGCTTCGGGCAAGTTATGTAGACTTTCTGTGGCATCATTTTCTCATTGGTAAAATTGGTTTGACAGTATCTATTCATAATAGTCACAAGAAAAACAAGATCATGCATGTTCAGTATTTGACATATATAAAATTTCAATATTGGTTCTTATCTTAAACCCTACAGTTTATAGTTCCATTATGCATGTATATATGTATCATACATTGTACATACATGTAGTTATGTATGTGCTTTATGTATTACATGTAATATAGGAATAGACAATGTGGGATAAAAGTAATAATGCCACAATAGTATTTTATGTATTGTCCTAATAATGATGACTAATAGTAATAGAAACAGGAAAGCCACACCAGTTTTCAGGAGGCTAAACAGGTCTAGAAAATCCATCTGTTTCTAGTTTCCAGGCCTCCAAAACATGCTACCAACAGGGCCTCTCAAAAGTCAGGTGATTGAGCTGCTCTCTTCGGGAGTGCTTGGTGATGATAGCCACTTGCTGTCATCTGCTCAGCTGTGTCAAGGAAAGAACGTGGATAGAAGGCGTGGGACCAGTGCTGGCTGTGACAACAGTCTTGACAAATTTTCAAAGTCAGAGATAGGCTGAAAAGGGAACCGCAGGGCTACCACTTCTCTGTGGGGCCACTTGGCCGGACAAAAGTTTAATACCCTCCTGTTGTGTTGATAGCACTCTCTGAGTCTCAGGTGACAGCTTCTCAGTAGCTTTAACTTCATTCCCAGCCCAGAGCAGGAAGCTGGGAAGATTGGCCCCTTTTGCAGCCGCATTTCTAACCTCCCAAGTTCCTCCTGGCTATTAGCTGCTGTGTGTAGGTGTGGGTGTCTGTGGAGACTCCTGGTGATGGGGACACTGTTGCCTCACTCCAAGCTCAGTAACGATAGATGTGCAGCTCTTAGAAGCTAGTAGACACTGAAATCCTGGCATTCTTCACTGACCAAGGAGCTCCTTCCTGTTTTTATTTTCTCACTTTGCTCTTAATTAGGAGAAGTCACATTACTCTTTGGGCACGGGGCAGTGAAGGCAGGCCCTGGAGAGATGTGATATGGAGAGATTTGTCATACTTACCTTGGAGGGCCAAGTGTGAGCCAGGCATTACAGCAGGTCCATGATTTGCTTTATTTTACATATTCTCAAGGACACTGAGGATCAGAGGATGAAAAAGTGGGTCTTAGCTCGTACCAGGGCCAGGTGGAGGGTTGGTATTTGCATGTAGGTTTTTGGAGCTCCTCTGTTCTTTGGCTATGAACAAATGAAGAAACAATTTGCTAGAAGTAGTTGTATTACCCTTTCTTGGGTCATATGTGGGGCTCAATATGTTGGTCTCTTTAGACTTTAGAGTCTGGGAGAAATGCAGCTTGCAGATGTGTTTGATTTTGCCGATATAGTGCTTGAACAACTGAACAAAAATGACTCATTCTTTAGAAAGAGTGTGGCTTTCATAGAACTCATCACTTTCAAGTGACCTGTGTTCATCCCACATCGCTCTTTTTTCTTGCTTACCCTGTCCTGCAGATGCCTGATTTTGCTACATCTTTGTGGCATTTCCTGATAAAGATGGCCCTTGACTGAGGAGGATGGAATGTACTGAATAATGTTACTGCCTGGAGCAATGTCATAATGCATCTGGCATATTAAAATCCCCCCCAAAAGTTCTGCAGTTATAAAACAAAACAAAAACCCTTACTGATTTGTCTGTACTTAGAGCAATATTTCCTGAAATTATTTGATTATAACCCCCTTTTCCTGTATGGGATACTGAACACCATCCTATGGGACAAAAGTACCCTATAGAGCATAAGTCTTAGAAACACTGGCTTGTTTTCTCTTGTCATTTAGATTTGAAAGAATAAAAAACAGACTTCTAGACATAGAATCCATTCATTATAAAGGAAAAGTCTGGCAACTTTGACAACATGCAAATTAAAATCTTTCTGTGCAATGAGAGAAATGATAAAGCCAAAAGATGAGCAACAAACAATATGAAAAGCAAAATAATATTCATGAAAATGTGTTATTGTAAAGGGTTAAAGTTAATTATGTATAGAGATTTCTACAAACCTATAGGGAGAAAGTGGAAAGAGAATATGAACAAGCAATTTAGTAAATGCAGAAAATCAAGAAACATAGAAAAGATGCCCAGTTGCATTTACAACTAAAGAATTGCAAATTGCCCTTCTAAATTGTTTGTCAGAATAACAAAAATTAAAAAGATTGTATGTACAGTCTTAGCAAGCTTATAGGGAAAGGGAGAGTCAGTAAAAGGAAATTGGTTCCTACTTCTTTTAAGGTATTTTAACAAGACCTATTAAAATATATATTTAGATACATTTTGATCCATTAATTTTTCTTTGAGCAATCCATCCTACAGGGATTTACACAAACATCTGTTTGTTAAATGTTGTAATACCACGTGCTTTATAACTAAGAGACACTGGCAGGCATTGAGGCATATGTCTGTAATCCCAGCACCCTTGGAGGCTGAGGCAGAGTCATAAGTTCAAGCCCTGCCCGGGCAGGTTATAGACTTAGTGAGAACCTGCCTCAAAATGTAAAAATTTAAAAATGTGCTAAGGATGTAGTTCAGTCCCCAGTGCCACCAGAATTAAGAAATACTAAAGGTAGCATGGAGTCTGTGAGCAGGGAAGGGTTGGAGGACAAGTACAGCATAGCCATTTGGCACTGCAGAGTCATGGCCGGAAATGAAGTGCGTGCACTCCATGAAACGGCATGGCAAGAACCTTGTGGCACAGCGTGAAATGTAGGAAGTGAGCTGAAGTACTTTGTCTTTATGTACACACGTGGGTATATGCACACACACACGTATATACATGCACACACATTGAGGTACACATACATTCAAAGCTATCTGGAGAGAAAATCACAGCGTTAACAGTGACCACTTCTGGAGCAGAAGGACTGAGGCTGAGGCAAAGATGTGGAATGTCGGAGACAGTTTTCACCCCACTGTCTTATCTTGTGTGATTTTTTTTTATGTCAAACAGATAGTACTGATATTTGCAAATCATAAACCGCAGATGAAGGCATAGAGAGAGTGAGTTGTCATGTGACTGAGGTGTTTGTGCAGCTGAAGGGTTATAAGGAGAGGCTCCAAGAGCATCCTGCCTGGATTTAAATTCTCCACCGTGTTCTTGCTAGCTTTGTGACCTTGGGATTGTAACTGAATCTTGACATGCCTGAGGTCCTTTATCTACAAAAATAACATTTCCCTTGCAGGACTATAATTAAGAAGCTAATATATTAACAGTATTCAGCACAGTATTTTCCCCATTATAAATTCTCAAATCATAGTCATCATTATTTAAGCAAGAAGTTTATTTGTACATTACTAGCAGTAGCACTTTAAGAAAGTAGTTTTTACTCTTTTTAATTTTGCTCTGATTGCTAAAGATGATATGTATTGATAACCAAACACCTAGAGCATAGAGAAAAATAAAAAGCATTTAAAAATTATACTTCCACTAGACTCTTAGACATGATTTTTTTATCCATGTAACTTCCAGCTCCTTTGGCTGAAATTGTGCTTGGCCCCACTGCTTAGCAAATGGTGTTGTCACGCAGGGGCGGGAGTGGTTGCTGCCTGTGAGTGCATCCTTTACTTGAAGAGAGGAAAGAACATCACAAGGCTTAGCGCAGGTCGTGGGGCAAAACATGCCCACTGTTGTTCACATGCCCATTATTTTGGGCTGTGGAGAGAAAATTTAAATAGTTTGATACAAATGATCGTTGTCCCTAGCAATCCACGTACGCTATCTTCCCATAATAATAGGAGTTACCATTTATTGAGTACCCAGAATATACCTGATGGTCTTCCGGATGACTCACAGACCTGATGTGTCATCTTTATCATCCTGCAAAATAGGAAAATTGAGACTTTGGAGGGCTGTGTTTTATCCAAAGCCACATGACTAAGAAGGTGTGGAAATGGGATTTGACCATCAGCCTCTATCTTTGGCATGTCTGTGATCACTCTACAGGATGTTACTGCCTTCTTGAAGATAGGAGTTGTGATTTCTCTGTTGTATACAGAGCAGCACATGGCTGTTTCCGTTTTCCCACAGAGCTTTGTGTCATACGGCAATATCTACGATGCAGTGTCCCTCTCCTCTGATCTGTGCTGTGTCACAAAGCGTCCTCCGCACCAGCCGAGTTGTTAGATGTGAGCACTCATGTTTATTTCATGTTCCACCTAGGTGGCGGCTTTGAAATACATCCCCTCTGTCCTCCACGATGTGGAAACCGTCTTTGATGCGAAGTTACTCAGGTGAGAGCCGTGACATACTCTCCCCGGCTTCTGTCAAGCCAGGGACTCAAAGGAAAGAAGGGCTCTTGTGGGGAGATCTGGATGGGCCCTCAGTGCGGTGACAGGGAGAACACATGAGAGGGGCCTCATTCAGGGGCCCTGGTGTGAGATTTTTACATTTTGTTGAAAACCATTGTAGAATATGCATCCCTTTTTGAAGCCACAGGATATAAACCTGTAGATTCAGAAGTTGATTTCTGGGACAAATGTCTCTATTTCACCTGGGCTTGAAGGTTGTTTTGGGTTCCAGTCTTTGCCTGGTAAATCCTATAGTTTGCAGATGGAGAACACCCCAAGAACACTTAAAGAGAAAACAGAAATGGGCTCTATTTTCCTTTCTGCCTTTTAATTCCATTCATCTCACATGTGAACACATGATTTTAGTGTGATCAAGGTGTTGGAATGTTGGAGTCTGATATATAGTTCCTCCTTCTTTTTCTTAAATTCACTTAGGTTCCCAGATAACATTCTAGGAGATATTTTAAAGTTTTTGCATTTAAATGCTTTTATGTTTAGAAAAGAGTTGTAAATTTGGTATAGTTTCCATATGTTCTTCACCTAGTTTACCCTAAGGTTCAGATTCTACATGACTGTGGCACATTTATTGAGTCCAGAAATTATCACCAATACAATTTTTTAAGAAATCATACTGCAGACTCAGACATCACAAGTTTTTTTCACAGATTTTTTTTTTCCTGTTCATATAAGATTTTTGTTGCCTCCTTCTCATCCTTTAGGGCTCAGACTAAAGGTTTTCTTTTCAGAAAAGCTACATCTAAATATTGGAAATAAATGAAATTCATCCCCCACACCCTGACACCACTTCCTATTTATTTCCTTCAGTCCATTGATCACATTGTATCGATTTGTTGTTTCTTTGTTTTGTGTCTGCCTCTGTTAGAATGTGGATTCCATGCCAACTGGGACCAGATCTGTTCCCATTCTGTCCCTGTTTCTCTATGCTTTGCCTACCACATACTAAGTAGATGCTTAACAAGTACTTGAAAGAACGAATGAATATAATGAGTTTATTTTGGAAAAGCAGACAGGGACCATAATTGTTTTGTGATATTTTTGTCTTCACTCTATTTGAGAAGATAGCTTTTTTTGATATCTCAACTGACTGTAGCTCGTAACTTTTCATAGCTTTTTAAAAGAAAAATTAAGGAAGTTTTGTGATCTTAAGACTTACCATGAAGCATTATGAATCTTAAAGGATTTGTAAATAAGTTGACGTTTTAATAATGTCAGCACCTGGCTTTGTTTCTTTGATTCCCTCATGGTATAATCTTAGGATTGTTAGTTAACCTTTCTAGCCTTTAGTTTCCCCTTTTGTTCATTTAGGACTAGCAGCTTATTGATGTCATAGGGTTATGAGGGATAGATGGCATAGCGAATGTCAATGTAAAGCGCGTGCCTGGTGCACCCAGGGTTATTGGTGGTTTTCTCCAGATAGTTTGCATGTCTTTAATGCTGCCAATTTAAACCAGTGCTATTATTCAAAAACCAACAAAGCTTACACACTTACTAAAAGCTTGCTACGTACTTGATGATCTGCCCTGATGATCTGCCCGGAAGTGGGGATCCAAAGGAACAAGACTGACTTTGTTTCTGTCCCCCTAGGGGCTAACCGTGCAGGGATGAGTGCAAGTGTTGTCAGATACTTGGAAACATGGATCTGATTTGCTCAGCTAACTCCTTTTTTTCCTGCCCTCAGCCAACTCTTGTATGAGTTCTATACCTGCATCCCTCCTGTGAAACTGCAGAAGCAGAAGGTACAGTCCATGAATGAGATTGTCCAGAGCAACCTCTTTAAAAAGCAAGGTGAGTATAAAGCACCTAGGCTGGGTGTGGCCTCTTTGGGAATACGGCAAGAAAGGGCAACCTGCCCCGGCACTAGAACTTCTCTTTTTTTAACAGCCCCCTTGGTTCACAGGAGTTGAAAAGCAGGAAGTAGTTGTCAGCTTAGATATCAGAATCTAAGTTGAGTTTTTAAAAGCTTGGTTTGCATCCTTTATATTTCTTGAGAAATTTAATGAAGTGCTAAGTTTGGAATCCTACGTTTTAGGCCTTTGTGATGTAGGTAGTTTTTTTCCTGCCTGATTTATTATTGCTGTCCTGATTTGAAAGGGAAGCTGGTGAAGTTCCTTTTAATGAATGAACCTGTAAGTGAGAAATTCTCAAAATTTCAAGGATGTGCAAATAAATGGAGAGCTTATCAAAAGATAGATTCCTGGGACCTGTCTCAGATTCTGACTGAGTAGGAAGGAGCAAGATTTTTTTTTTTTTTTAGTTTTTAGAGAAATGTAAATTATTCTCAAATAGGTAATGAACTTACCTGGTCAAAATACACAAATATAAAAGGGTGTCTCATGGGAAGGGTCTCTTTATACCCTGCGCGTGGGCCACTCCAGTCCCTTCTCCAGGGGCAGCTAATATTTCCAGAGACGCCTCATGGATGTGCCATCAAATACGTGTATGCTATGCATTCTCCCTTGGCCTCTTATTTACCATTCAGATGATACCATGTCATGGAACAGCCCTGTACTTGGCATGTTGTAACATCATGGTAGATTCTGGAGATCAAAGAATGATGACCTTTGAGAGCAGCTGTGGTCACAGAATTTGCTCCTTCCAAACCGATAACCATGGGATCCTCTGACAAGTACCCCACTGTCAAAAGACTGGAAGTTTCTTATTTTGATATCGGTGAACTAAATGTTCAAAGCTCCTCTACATATGACCAGGCAAGATTTAGAAACTCTTATAAATCCTCTACTTCACTTGCAGTAAGTAACATTCTGCGTTCCCACGTCATGCAGTCTGCTCCATTACATATTCCCCAGCTCCATTTCTTCACTCCTTTCTACAAAGGTCAAAAAATGACTCCGGAGGTCATCGCTGTTTTCTGCACCCTAAGATCAACCTTTCCAATTCTAAATTCCTCTGTCCACTGATGTCAACAATTAAATGAGAAGTAAACTTTCAAGAAGCAAGAAATCTTAGAATTCAGAGGATCAGCCATCATCCAGTGGGAATTTATTCAGCGAGTGAAGCCTGAATATTTATGCAAATTGCCTGGTAATCACAGAAATATTCAGGAACCACTTCATCTGTAAAGATGTTTTTTTCCTAATGCCCGGTTAACATGGTGCATCCAGAATTGCTGTCTGAATCCTATCCCTAGAGTTAAGGGTAGGAAAGAGACATGGAGAAGAAAAGCATTCTTCCTGTGTTTTTGATATTCATGTATGTAGTTTCTTGCTAATTTAGACAGTTGTATGGCACTCAATCCATCCAATGCATATGTGATTTGTTTGTGCAAGGTGGTTTGTGCAAAGCAATGAGAGACTAATCCTGGTAAGTATAGTTGCATTTCTTTTTAATATCTTTTCCTTTTTATTAGTATATATTTGTGATACATAATAAATACATTCATCCTGGGGAATTAGTAGATATACCTATAGTTGCATTTCTTATAGTACTGTGGCTTCATATAGTGAGGCTTTTGTGATTTTAAAGTTCTGACTTTCACCGGCAAATGAATTGCCTTCACTCTCAAAGATTTGAAATATGCCTACCCCTTCGTACCCTGGCAGGCCCTCCTAGGATTTCAGGTGTTGTCACTGTTGAGACAAATCAAGTACTGTCCTAGGGACATGACAAGGACGCCTCTAGTGACATACGGTACTGCACAGAGTACAGAGAGCTGGGCTACTTGGCTGTCCCTCATTGTTCTGAGCTGCCCACATTGTCAGGGGCTCAGCTTAGCATTGAGCCAGATGGAGAACTAGCACAGCCCCAGACTGACCATGTGGTCAGTGCCAGCCTCACAGAAATCAGAGTAATTCCTTTCCTGCAGCCACCTCTCCTGGGTGGCTAGGGGTCCCTGAGGGCTTGCAGAATCAGAGGGCAGGCTAGAAAGCTGCTGCTTACCAATCCTGCTGCGTGTCTGAGTTTTAGATTCAGTAAAACCCTGTGATTAATATTAATTGAGAGGAAGCCAGCCCTAGTGTTGTACAGTTACAAAATAAAAGCAAAGTTCTTTCCTTCAGATACAGTCAGAGACTAGAATCAGGCAAAGTGCCCTTCAGAGACCCATTTTAGAGAGGATGCAAAGCATAATGAGTCTTCCATCCTTGGCTCATACGTGAGAGCAGTCAGCTCTCACCAACAGCTTAGAGGTCACGCCTCTCCCACTGTTTGTTTTCTAAGTGAACCCTCTTACTAAAATAATCCCAGAGGGAAACTTCAGCTCTTACCCTTTATTAAGTCTTTAAGTTCTTAATGAATAAAATCTGAATGCATGAGCACTTTGTGGTGTCTGCTGCTCTTGGGTAGGTGTCTCTTTTTATATTCTTAAATAAGGTGAATTTGATTCCTCTGGCCAAGTTTGAGCCATAATGAAATTCGTTATGTTATTCTCCCTGTGAAGTATCCTGTGCCTCAGGAACATGATTTGCTTTGAGCCTGCACACATTTAACTGCCAGATGTGCAGGTAGCCTGGAGTACTGTCCCAGCATTGGCTTGTACTCACAGCCTTGAACATGTGTATTGACACCAAGCAGTGAGGCCAGAAGGCTTTTAAGCACTCTCAGATTTGGGAAGACCACCTTCTGATCTGTTTTTACCGGTATTCTGTGGAGAAGAGGAAAAAGGATCTTAAGTTCTTAAGTCACACTGGACCTCAGTTTATTTTCTGGCTTAGGCCCTTTTCAGGTGTGTGGCTCTGAGGGATTTCCCTGACTTGGCTGGTCCTCAGTAAGGCTGACTGAAAAATGGGACTGATGATAATGTGTCTGTCTTAAAAAGTTGTGGTTGAGACATTTAAAGATTTAATACAGCATCATCTTCAGCACAGTGTCTCATGCTAAAAGTAACTTATCATTCCTGTTGTAGTTATTTTTCCTTCTGCTCCTCGCAGTATCCAGATATCTATCCTTTAGATCCTCACAGTAAAGAAGTCTCTTTATGTTTGGTAGTTGTATTTGATGCTAAGCCATGTCCCTGGAAGCAACATGTTTGATCTCAGGATTGGAGAAATATAGGACTTAATGAATAAAAAGGGCCATGGTCTGTTGAGTTCTTCCCATTCGGGCTTTCAATTTTTTTTCCATTTTTATTTCATTTTCCTAGAGTAATTCTGCAAAGCGTCCATGTTTCTTTTGGACTAGAAGGAGAGGGCTAGGCCAGGGTGGAGTGTGTGTGATTTGTTGCTTCTTTGTTTATCTTCCTCCAGGCCTTCCTACAGCTCTATAGCTTGGGATACTTGGCAGCTGTCCTCTCCTGATGGTTTGCTCCTAATGTTTTACTCGCCTCCATGAACCTCAACTCCTACATGACGTGTGACCTGGAGGAAGTTATTTACTCCTAACATATCTCAATTTTCTCCTCTGTAAAATGGGAGGCCAGGGATTCAGCTCAGTGGTGCCACTGCATGCTGTGCAAGTGCAAGGACCCGAATTTGATCCCCAGTACAAAAAAAAAAAAAAATGGGACCAGTCACAAAATGGTCCCACTGAATCTCTGTGCAGACCCAGGAGCATCATAGGAGTTGTTAGCCTGGGATGTGGGGAGCAGAGTCCTCCTCAGTCACAGCCCCACCTGGAACAGCTGCACCCCACACCAAGAAATCTAGAGAGTAATCTGCTGTCTTCTGCAGCACAAGCTCAGACTTGTACCACGGTGCTAATGGGAGAAAAGTTGACTTCATCTGCTGGGCGGCAGCACTGAGGAGAGTCTGAGAGAAAAGCGCCTTCAGAGCAGATTTGTCCCTCTGAGAGCCTAATCTCTAAGTGGTGTTGTCTTTTTAGTTGGATGCTAATCAGACGCACCATCTGCTTCAGTGTAAACTGCTTTAGGATCCACACTGCTCACTTTTCTCTTCAACCTTGAAGAGAGAGACAGAGAGAGAGGGAGAGGGAGACTGACAAAGATTCGGAAACTCTTCTAATAGTTATTTCCAGCTAGGGGATCTTTTCATGGGAAACTTAATTGTGAGGCCATATGGAGATCACAGCACCTGGTTTTCCTTCCCTCTACCAAGATGTAGCTGTCTCTGTCTTTCCTCACTGCTTACAGTGTCTGCATCCTCATTCATAATTAGCAACTGGTTCAATTAGTCCTGGAAATTCCTGGGGGAAGGGAAGGTGAATACTTGGACCCAGTGTTGTAGAAGGTTTGTCTTTTCCGGTCATCATATCATCGCAGCATTGGCCTGCAAGAAAGAAAAGTCCTATGACTCTAGCAGTTATTACTTTGCTTATGTAACACCGTTGAGCCTCAGGTTCCATGTCTGGTAAATGTGAGTAGGAAATGTCATCCTTAGAATACGGGACTTTTGATTTGGAACATCCTAGTTTCTGATCCTGGTTATAGCTGTGCTCCTCTAAATAAGAACCCTTCCTCAGCTTCAGATTTTTTTACCTACAAAAAATATGATAACTTACAACTTGCAGAGAGCCTGAGACATAATAGCTGTTTATTAAAAGGCATCTACAACAACCCTAAATATGCTGATGACATCAATAGCATCTTAAAAGGAGAGATTTGTGTTTACTAAGCACTAAGTACTGGATAAATATATTTTATATTCTTACAACAACCCAATTGTATAGATGTTTCTATCCCATCTTATAGTTGGGGAAATGAAGTCACAGAAAGTGAGGCCAAAAGTAACACCGTATATTATGCATTAGTGTTTGGGGCTATGAGGTGCTGGAACAACAAATCACTCTTGAAATCTCAGTGAGCTTGACAAAGTTTGTCTCTCATGTGCAAAGTCTGGTGAAGGTCATATGTCCTTTGTCCCTCTGAAGTCATT